AAATTGATCAGTAAAATAAGAAGACATAACAAGTTTTACTTCTCTTTGAACAACATTTCTAAATTTACCATTACAAGAAAAATCTTCATGGCAACCATATTTTCTAAACTTGTATAAATAATGATCTTGGTCTTCAATCTCTGATGACATCCAATGTTCAGTTCTCTGTTTTAAACAGGAGCAATGGCATTCAACACTGATCTAAGACTATATAAAACATTTTCAAAATGTTCAATAAAAGTGATTGTTTTGGAGGTCTATATATGGTACCTACAAGTATTGGTTTGGTTTTTTGGTAAAAGGATTTCAATAAAAATAATTTCATCATTAAAAACATTTAAGTCAGGTCTAGCAGTAAAAGCAATATCATTCCTCCCATAGCAACAAACTTCTCCCACATGCCTGTCTCTATCATATCTTATAACTGTATAATTGTCAATATTAATTTCTGAGTCTGTAACAGACTTGTCAAGCCAAGTTTCAGATATAACAATAACAGCTGTTTTAGTTTTGAATGCAATTATTTTAAGTTCAGAAATTTTAGGCAAAAGAGATCTAACATTGAGGTGTAAAAAGTTAGTCCTTTTTTGAAACGCTGGAAGTGATCATCTGGTATAGTTGATGGTACAGTAGTTGAAGTAGTTGGTAGTGAAGTGCTGTCAAGTCAATGTGATGCATCATGGTCCCGGAAATCTGTAAAATCTTGTTTTTGAATAGTCTTGACTCTGATTATCACAAAAAGGCTTTTCATAATTGATAATAGCATGCAATCAACAGATGAACAACCACCTGAAGAGGTTTTAGTTTATCCTAAGGCAGTTGTCAGTTTAAAACATGTACGAAAATCATTACTTGACACACATTTTATTTTCACCAGAGAGCATTCCTACAATGTCCTTTAAGCAAAAAGTGGTGAAATTTTCAGAAAGGGAGCACAAAACCAAACTGGCATACATGAACATAAAAAGTAAAACTTACCAACTTGTGAACACCTTAAAGAAAGAAAGAGTTATAACAATGTATGCAAAGGAAAGGCACCAGGAAAAAAGTAAAACAACTCATGTCAATCAAACAGAACTGAGAAGGGACTTTTGTAAGGGGCGTCTCGCTACTTACACTGGAAGAGGACTTCTATCTGGTGGTAATAATCTGTGATTGCTTGCAGAATGAGTTTTAAAAGCAGTTGATGCAGACTTCATAAGCCCAGATTGTCAATATAATTTTGTAACACATAGTTAGAATTAAAGATTTACTGTTTTAATCACGGCAATCCCATAAAAAATATAAAAAAATAAATGATTGCTTGCAGTTATTTAATTTTTTTCATAACTTCATGATATTTCTCATTAAGATATGAGCCTTCTATAGAAATATTAATTAACCATTCTTTATAATTTAAATAACTAATTTGTAATTTTTAGGAAACTACAGAACAAAAAATGTTTCTAAACCCAAAGAGTATAATGATTTCCACATAAGGCCACTATCTGCTACACCCAAACAGGTCGAGCTGTAAAGCCTCAATAAACAAATACCCATAAGTCTGAAGCCTGATTGGTTTGGTTGCCACCACTTCATCATTCCAAACATTGTTACATAAAAGCCTCACTGACCAAAAACGCCAGCAACAGCTGAGATGTAACTGGATTTTCAATCGACCATGTTCCACGAGGGATAGCTGGGACATATTGAAGCTGAAGTTAGTTGTAAGTAGACTCAGTTTTCCAACATGGCCGGCTGAAAGTTCTGAAAGTTGTTGGGTTGTCATTAAATTAAATGGTTGTGTTGACGTGACACTTTATCATATTTTACCTAGATAGTAAGTGCATTTTTCAAAAACTCTCTAAATTCCCAGAAGGTCCTAGCATGACCCTGAACAAAGAATAAATCTATGTAAATTTTCAACTCTCTAAGTAGCCAATAAATCTGTTGTTTTTAGTTGGACTTCCTAAATAATACAGGGAAGAAATGAATATATGTAAAATTGCATAGGTTAATTTGAAATAGCAATCTTAAATCTCGGGATCAGATTCGCCAATATAAATTTAGTAAAAAAACAAAACAGAAATAATGTTTTCTGACATAATATAGGCGTCAAACCCAAAATTGATCTCAAGGAATTCTGGGATATTTGTTTTACATTCATATGTCCTTTTATTATAAAGTAATGTTCTGTTTAACCACGCATTCTTCTACATACTTTAAGTTCTATTTCAAAGCATGCATCCTGCTCCAGATTATTTAACGCTGCTTTAATGAGTCAAACATGTACCAAATCACCACTTAAAATAACGTTCATGATAATGTTTACCAATCTCACTTTTTCGGCTCTTTTCGTTATATCCATAGGTGTTGCAAATTTATTTATTTCGTATCAATAAATCAATGTCATTTACAAAATTCTATTTAAATATTGATTTGACTTAACCTTAACTATTTAATTGTTTTCTTTGAGCTAAAACGACATTCACGATAATAGAAATAAAGAATCACATAACAGTAAAAATGAACTGAGAAGAAGAAAACGTGAGTATGAAATAAGGTTTTTTCATTGCTTCTTCTTCTTCACTTTTTAAGATTTACTTCAGACCTTACATTTTGTTTCTAATTTAAATAATTTGTATGTGCAAACATATACAAAAACTTAACCGGAAAGTTAAATAGTAGGCTAAATATCTTAATCCTTTTGATTCTATTTCCATGTTTCATAAAATAGAGGAAAACAGAATCCCTAAAGAAAGCCCAAACACGGCAGAATTGAAAATATTGCAGACTCGGTTTGATTGAGCCTGTTCATTGTCGTTATGGGAAGTGCAAGTTTACGTCTACGCTCCCTATTACTGGCTTAAGCAGAATTCAACATTTAAACATGGAAATGGTGGGGTTTAGAATTAAGAAACTTCCGCAGATGTGTTCATACGGCGGTCATCATGGAACCTTCAATATGACACGTTAGTGCCATTCCATTTTAAAAGCGGCGTATTGGGGCAAAATTAATAAAATGCATGTGCACTAAACGAGAAAACAATGGGCGGAACTAAATAAAATGGAATTCTAAAGGATAAGATACAATATAATAACTAGTTTATGTTCGGCCGGGTATCTTTTTAAAAAAAACATGTCTTGTTTTAGTTGGGTGTAATGTCACATCAGCACAATTTTAAGGTCCTATGTGAAATTCCAGCTTTAATGCTGAATTCCTCCCCCACCATTTAAGCTGAAAAGGCGCCATTGGACCTAAAATTGTGTTGGTGCGATGTGAAACCCAACCCTTTAAAACAAATTCTCGATGGCATAACTGTAACTTATTTATAACGATATAAAAATATTGTGACTTAAATTCATTCCATGTTAATATATTAGGTTGTTGCTACTGGTATTACAATTTATTGTGACATAAAAATGCATGAATTATCCAGAAAAAAGTGGTTAAATAATCTGGAAAAAACTTGTTTTGTATGATAAATTGTATATTGTTATGTTTTTGGTTTGCTTTCATCATAAAGTTTATCAGTAAGTGTTAAAATTTTCGTTTGTTATTCTTATAAAGTATATCTTTATCAAACTTACAACATAATAAAATAGCATACCGATTTCTAGGGATTGCACTTTTAGCCTTTGTTTCACAACATCAAGTCATTTAAAGTTCAGTTAAAGCAAAGAGGCTTTCATGAGCTGTTTTGTCCCATATTATCCTGTAAAAATGAGCATGCATTTAATGCTGACAATTTGTCTTGTTTGTTGTCTTCACACTTTGCAATTAGTTGAGCTAATATCGAGATCATTATTATTACAGTCAGAACTTGCTAACCGCAATTGCAACTTGGATTCTTTACTTGGTGGTATACTTTGCACTCTGGTATTCAGCGGTGTAATATGTTCCTTTTTCAGGAAGAATTTGACATGTTATCTATGTTTTAAGACCCATTTTTATCACTCGACTCCCAAATCGCTGATTTGAGCCGATATTCGCATGGTTACTAGAAGTTTGGAAACAGTAATTTCACAAAGATGCATTCAAAATATAAATTCACAAGAAGTTTACACTAATGAGGAATAAATATACTTCTATACAACATACATTAAATCATGAATTTAAAAATCATTCGTTCATAAACACTTAAACTTTCACTAGTGATCCGTTATTGGCCAACTCAATGTATTAATTTGCAGAAATTTACTAATAATTATATCGTCTTTAGTGGATGCACACACCGTTTAGTCAATTTATCTAATTTTGTTAAATATTGTTGTGAGATGATTCAAAGGAAAACTAAAGTCACCCGAAAAGCTGCTTTAAAATGTTGAAAAATACGATTTTGCTAGAAAAATTAATAAGCGAAAATTGTTATCTTTTTTTAAAAATTGTGGCTTTGTATGGATGTCCCATGAAACTCTAGACATTGATACCTCCATTTGTATTTCAGACCGCGCCTTATTAATTGATATATTCATACATGTTCATGGAAGCTATAAATAAATCGAGGAGATTTCAATTCACCAAATACTTTAAGACGATTCTAAATATATTAAAAATATTCTGAAAATCTAAGACCTGCGTTATCATGATTTCGATGTTCTAGTCATAAATTAGGCATTCCAAATATGTATACCTTTTTTAATAATTTCCTTAAAATCTGGGTATCTGAGTCAGACACAAACAAAGAATCAAGAAGACGGGAGTAAAATGTGTATTTTATCTTCTTCCTCTTCTTTCTTTGTTCCATCATAAGTAAAAGCTTAAATTGTTACTTATTAAAAGATGGAGTTCGTAAAATAAAAAAATTGAATTCTATGGTTTAATATCACTGCCCGTCTTCCTGTATCAAAAATGTAAAACAGTACTTCTATATGGTCATATAATTAATAATGTATTTTTTGTTTTTGTTTTATGGTTTAACTTGATTTGCATGTCTTTATTTTTCTACTATTTCATTTTTAAAAATAATTAATGATCAGTTATTTGATTAAATCTATGAATAGTTCCAAATAACCACTTATGAAAAATAAAAATCGCAAAGTCTACTTTACTTTTCGGTAAAAAATACTACATTTAAAAATATTTGCGATTCAATTTAATGTTTTTTTTTCTGTGTTAAAATTGGTTTTAACAATACAATTATTTGTGTTAATTTCTCTTTACTATTTCTTGACACAATCAGTTGTCTTTTATGAATATTGAACTTAATTGAATCCAACTCAGGGAAATTAGCAATATTTGTTAATATTAAGTCCTTCATAGTTAACGTTTTAAATAAAAACATTGAACTTTGCTTTGTTTTCTTGTGAGAAATGAAAATATTGACAATGTCAATAAATAAAAATTTTCCTGTGTCCATCAAACCTCGTTTTTGTAATTGGCTTAAAACATCAATTGCAAAAGAAAAACCTAGAACAATTATAAAAATGTTAATCATTTCAACAAATTTGATAAAACATTTTATTTAAACCGCCTGAGTCTGGTGTTATCTTCATTTATTTGAATTCAGTCACGCCTTCTAATGTCGATACAGTTCCTGCAAATGATATTTTGCCATCCGGAAAGTTTGGCGTTTTGAATTAGCTTTAGAACAGAGTTACAAGAATTATCTTCCGAAATGTAATTTATAAATTAGGAGTAAAGCTGGATTCGAAATGTTTGACTTATAAGTTGTCATGTACAGTTTCAACAAAGCCTTTTTAATGTATTGAAAGATTTTGCATTGACTAAGCATATACCGGCATTGAAGATATTTCATTTCATTAAACGAATTTTTTGAAATGCAAGATGTATATTTTTAGTACTAAATATTTGGAAACAATATCTTGCATTACATTCATAGCACATCATTTTTGCTGCAATGATATTAAGTTTACTTGAACACTTGTCGAAGAAGATTAAACAATCTATAGATCAAAAATGCTCTCATTTTCCCTTTAAGATTAAAATAGTTTCTGATACATTCTGGACACTATAATCTCGTTTGTGTAATTGATTTTATGACTTGATGTACATTAAATTGTATTTCTCTTTCGTTAGCTAGCATTTCAATTGACTTATAATAATGTCTAGGCATTGTCTTGCAGCTCTGTTTCATTTTAAAAATCCTGCCTTTGATGTAAACTGCTTTAATCTGTGCTTTGTTAAAGTCCGTTCTACATTTGCGAAAATGGTGCAATGCTATCTCTTCGGGATTTGCAAAGACTCTGTAAAATTAAGGAAAATACTAAATAATCCTATATCTTTCAATGCAATCATTTAAGTTTTATTCTTGTTAGAATAGACTAGCAGAGAAAAGTATCTTAGATCAAACGCTGATGTAAAAGGTACCGGATAAATTCACATATATCTTAAAAACAATTAATATATAACAATTATCGTTACTCCCCTTATAGCGGAATTTCATCAAATTGATAAAAGTGTCAAAAACTCGAGAACTGTAAAAGAAGGCGTGTGCTTAATTACAAGATAGTATTCACCACTTTACTTTAGCTGCTACCTTTAAAAGTATGCATAAACATTCTGAAATTTTCTTGTTTGAAATATATATACATGAATTAGGCATTTGTTTGACTTTCAAACTCTATTTAGTTATAAGGCCATCCGGCCCATACATATGAAGATTAATTATACAAAATATACATCTGTGGATGCTACAAATCAGGCATGATTAAGACATAATAGAAATATGTAAAACAAAATGTCAACAATTATCATAGAAATAGAATCGGTACTAATTATCTAAACATAGACAAAAATTGATCACGTTCTCTGAACGCTATATATAGAAAAGTTGCTAATTTCTAAATTGTATCAATATCTTGAGTTAACATCGCATTATAATACTTTATATATGAAGGATATTTCGAGAAATAATCACTGATGTACGTCCGTCTTATAGTAGTATAGTATAGTGGACAAAAACGTACAAAATGGTACTAAATTTTTTACACATTCAAAAAATGGGTAATATCTATAATCAAGTTCAAAACAACTATATCGCCCAATTTCTATCGATAAACAATGAAATGAAGATCGAAAATTTGCTAAAACACTTCTATTTTTCAATATCCAGAGACAATAAACATTTTTTGCAGGTAAATAATCTTTTTTTTAAATGAATGTAATCCATCAATTTCACATTTAATGAACATTTTGACATCCAATTTTGAACATAATTATTGGTCTTTTAATCTATTGACATATACTGATAAAAATAAAACAATATAATGTAACATAATGTAATACAGTACCGACTGTACCCTTTCATTGGCAAAACTGCATGAATAGTACCGCTTTCAAGACGGACACGTGACGGCATATACGCATTTTTTATCCAGTCTATAATAGGTAGTGTTGCTTCCCCATAACGGCCAATCATTAACTCATGATTATAGTTTGTTGCGTTCCAAGTCATGTCATGAAATACAATGTAAAATTTCAAAACACCTATTTTCCTATAAAGTAGCTTGTCCACCTGGAACAAATGAAACTACCTTTGAAAAGCATGTTGATCATGTTGCCAAATAATAAATAATGAAAGAAATGCATTTAAATAAAATACCTTAACGAACCGCACTTTATTTTATCCATATTAATAGTTGTTCACTCCTTCGCAAACATACATTGAATCGGAAAATAGATAACAATGACCCAAAAGTATAAACATAGTTTCGAAAACATGTCATTAATTAGTTATCTGCGATTCTTACCAAATATTTTTTTAGTAAACCCTTTTCTGACGTGTTCATCACAATAAACTCATCTCGGTCGATGTCGATGGTTATATCGAAGTACCTGTGTCTTTCTCTGCAATCAAGAAGAGCAACGTGCTCGTCCTTAAATAGTTGAAATGTATGTGCCTTTCTCGATATTTCATCTGAATTATTAACACATTGATATTAACACTTCACAAATATGAAATATATCATTTCTTTGGGTTTTAAAAAAAAGGTTTTTTTAAAAAAAAATATTTCATTTTTATACTTAAAATTTTCCTTAACTCATCCCTCAAAAACTAACGACGTTATGGACATTTCCTTTTTTGCCCAACCAAAATTTAATGCCGTTAGATTCTTGAAAAATAATACATTTATCAGACATTACAATATTTTATGACAAGAATGTCTTTGTAAATATCTTTTTGGTGGATTATAAAACTTCATATTTCCATTGAAACGATAAACGATATTAAATAGATGATATTGGATGAGTGTAGATTAAATATTAAATTTATTGGACGAGTTGAATAAAATACTATTGTGTTATTCAACGAGTTAAATAAATTTTGTATTGAATCTACACGAATATAATATTCTATTTATCTCGTATATAATATAAAATTGGTAAACTATTAACAAGGGTCATTTTGATTTGACGCGCCTAAAGTGTAACGCTAACATTAGCGCATTAACGCTATGTTTATAGTGCAAATAACGTCACTTCAAAGTGCTTTTACACTATAATAATATCGTTTTAATTAAATGGCTTTATTACACTCCTGCGCCGCGGTTTTGTGATAAAATATCGTTATTTTGTCGTACTATATTTTTGAAACCTTATAAAAAAGTAGTTTTACACCTTTCACTTATTCAAATTTTGCATAAAATCGTTTAACATATCAATTTGAATAAAAAAGGAAATATTTTGGATTTAAAATGACACAATTGTTACAAACAAGTCTTCAATTCCCTGTTTATCAACTACTTAAAATCTATCTATATTTACGGCAAGATCCTGTAACACTCTTTTTTCAGGGTTTCATGGTTTTATTTCATAAATATGATGCTCAAATAAAGATTTTTCAATATTGCAAGTTCCAATAAGAATTATTTATAAAGATAATACCGAATTTAATTTTTTATGTAAATAAAGGGCGGGGGGTAATTAGAAATTTATTTTCTATAAATTCAAAGTCAAATTTTCCAATAAGAAATAAATGCATATAATTTATTGATTAAATATAATGTGCACAAATATTTGCAGTACACATTTTTCATATGTTTTGATGTTTGAAAATTGTTTTATTTGCATAATTATATACATATATAATTTTTGCAAGAGTGGTATACACACAGTGACTTCTCACTTCCCCTCGGAGCGTGCGCGTCGCTGAGAAGGCACAGGGCATCGGCAGAAGATAGCTTGGCTGATGGCTAACTATAACTGAAGCCTCCGTGGGCGTTAAAGAAGGAACCGCTACTTAGTCAACAACTGCGGACCAGCTGCCGGTGTCCTGACTAATGCCGAGGGGAGTGGCCCTACAAAGTAGGCGCTTGGGTCGACGAGGACGGTGTGCTAGGGTACGTGAGCCCCTAGCACGGTTAGACGGCTTGAACGGCAGGCCTTTTCCTGGCACAAACAGCCCTTTTCAATGGCTTACCTTTCCTATTGTCACAGTAAACTAAAGTAGAGTCATTTTAATTGCAATCAGACAAAAGTTAAAAATCATTCAGGGATAAAAACATTATAATCTGGTTGTTTTTTGTAGAGTAAAAACCGCACTTTATTTTATCCATATTAATAGTTGTTCATTCCTTCGCGAACATACATTCAGTTTTCAGTGACCGCCGTATAGTGACCTACTTTTGGCTCAAAATTCATATCTTTGGCTAATACTCCGTGGAAATGGCATGGAGGTAAATCATCACCACTTTGTGCTTCAAAATGAACTCTTTAAGGACATGACTGGTGACATGTCCAAGGTCTGTACTCGACAGCGAAAGATGCATTTTGTGCCAGAAAGGGCGGATGGACCCTCATTAAGCTTTGACTTCTATCAATCAATATACACACAGTGACAATATCAATCACAAAACATACATGATCTTTAACCTTTTGATATTCAATAAGGTATATTTGTTATTCGCAATAATTCATTGTTGGGGTTATTTTTATCGTTATTTAACCATTGAAGTTAACATGTGCATATCTATAGACAGTAGGTGTCAAGGGTGCCTATTGACACTAAGACCTGTTTAGAATAATAATGACTAAGTTAACGATAACGTAATATGAACTATGTCCATATTATGGACTAAACAAATATATTAATGCATAGTGTATTATATCATTTTTGATTTGTTTTAAATAAATTGTTATCTATTCAGTTGTTTAGTTTGATATATTGATTGAAGGAAAGTAATAATATATTTAAACAGTTTCTGCATTCACATTATCCGAAATTTATTATGAAATATATATTAACAATGTACAAACCATGTATGATTTATCAGCAGTGTAGTTTAAACAGACAGATATGTTATGGGAAGAGGTAGATTTTTCAGCACGACACATTTGTTGTGTTTTTGTTGTTTTAAGCTCTTAATAATTCCTCCTTTCTTGTTGTGTTGTTCTTGTTTTCTTGCATTCACAATCATCCCTAGGATGCTTTGCCTCAATTTTGTTATTAATGTTTCGAAGTCTATAACAAAACTTCACAATAAATAATAGGCAAGTTCAAAAGATCATGTACTTACCACTTTTGTCTATGAAAACGACCAACCAGAGCCTGCACATTTACAATTTGTCGTTTTTAAATATCTTTAGTAAATTCGTTTTTCTCGTTTTTAATTCAATGAATAATGAAGCGTTGGTCCAGCTCTTATATCAATAAAAAATAATTTTATATTGTTCAGATCCTGTCAATCAGAAAACAAGTTCAATAATGTATCTGTTTTATAATTTAGACAACCATAGGCATAAGAAATGTGTTACAGTGTATGTTAAATATCTAAATCGGTATTTTGATTAATAACTTACCTAAATTACTAAAGGACTAGGTATAAAATTTATCTGAAAGACTTAAACAATGTTAAAATGTGGAAAGAGAATAGCGGGCGGAAGTTTATTAAACGCATACATGTTATTTAGAGAGAAAACAAAATGTAACGAAAACTCTAACATCTATACGTTTGACTAGCTCATCAGTTAATAATTTTTAGACCCAGAAGTTATGTAATACAAACATATAAGCGCTTATGATGATATTGATTGGCCAAAAAACATAATGGGATCTATTGGATCTATGCAACATTTATTCTCATTACGCCGTAACAGCCTGTAGATGGTAAAAATTATTCATAATACGTTTACAAACCATCTCAGCTTCTAACCGCAAAATAGATATTTAAAAAGAGGGAGCGGATGAAGATTATTGTTGCTGAAATAAAATGTTTTGTATAAAAACACGGAGCCCTCAATGTGACATTTCCACACATTTTTTTTTCACGGAACTTTATCCGTGTTTACGTAAAATTAATTATTTTTTACGAAATATTATTTCGTTTTAACGGAATGTTAATTCGTTTTTGCGAATATTTTTTTCGTTTTTACGCAATAATTCTTTGTTTTCACGAAAGATTATACTTAAGTCGGGTCTTTTTAATGAGGAGTCATTCTCAATCCAAAATATAAGGTTCCAAACACTTTTTCTTAACAGCTAGCGTAAAATCTTTTTCAATTTCTGAGACAATTAATCTTTTCAAATATGTTTCACATTTCACAAAATGCAACATTTTTTCCCAAACTTTTATCAATGGGCTTTACCCGAAAAAGCTGCAAAAGGATATGCATGATTTCTAAATTCAAGGTCATCGTGATCTTGACCTGTGACGACTGACCAAAAATCAAAAGGGGTCATATTCTGGCCAGGGCCTCACTGGTCTCTTCCCTCACTCAAATATAAAGACAGTGAATGTCATAGGTATTAAGTTATAGAAACGGCAAAAATAAGCTATTGTGCCTATTGTGACTCACATGATTTATTTCGTAGTAACGAAATATTTATACGTCTTTATAAAGCATTATTTCGTAAAAACGAAAGAAAACTTTAAATGTTGAATTCTGCTTAAGCCGGTGCTAGGGGGCGTGGACGGTAACTTGCACTTTCCAATACCGTTCATGAACAGGCTCAATCAAACCGAGCCTGCAACATTTTCAATTTTGCCGTGTTGGGCTTTCTTTAGGGATTCTGTATTTATCTATTTTGTTTTTTACGAATTTGTATTCGTAATTACGAAATAATATATCATAAAAACAAATTTATATATCTAAATTATGAAATTATATTTCGTAAAAACAAATTGATATTTTTTTTAAATAATATTTCTTATTAACGAATAAATGTTTCGTAAAAACGAATTAAGTCCTGGGAAAACAATATGGAAAATGTCACCTTAAGGGCTCCGTATGTGAATGCCAGACAATGATTTTAATATATTTCTTTTGAACGAATTGCCGTATATCGTTTCTTCTTGCTGACAAAAGTATATTCGAAACATACTTTCTAGTGGTGGTATTAATTCCACTGCTTGTAGTATTCCTTTGTTTTCATAATATCTCAAAACACGTTTAGATAATTCATTAAGACTTGGGTTGTAATGTATCGTAAATGTGTCCACTCCATGAAAAAGATTCACTTCAAACCATTCTATTAATTGAAATGCATCAATTGATCCATATAAGTATTTATTGCATATTGCTAAATTCGGTCTGTTTGTTATTTGTTTACGAACAGTCACTGTAATATAAAATGTTCTTTCGGTTGGGCATTCGTCAATTTGTTTGACAATAGAGACATAATCAATGCTGATTATCCGTGGAGGAACATGACATTCAACTCGACTTGCATACAAACGTCCATAACCACGCACAAAATAATTTGTTTTCGATGACTGCAAGGAAAGCATTTCATTGTTTGCTACTACACAACATTTATATCTGTTTATTGTAGCATTTTCTTGTTGCCAAGAGAGAACGACGATCGTTTTTTCCTCGTTTCGATTGATTTTGTCTTGATTGAAAAAGGCTGAATAAATATATGTTCCTTGACTTGAAATCTCAACAAATCGCCTCTTTACATTTAACTGATCCATTTTCATCACTTTTGAAGAAGGAGTCAATTGAGCCTACATATTTAACAATAACTGATTAATGTGTACATTATAATTAAAACATTTACCGATACATATGATTAGATAATACATGTATTTATTGATAAATATGTTAAAAAACTTAAGAAACGTAGTAATCCTGACATAATAACCAACAATACAATACAGCAGAAAGATAGCATGCAGCTAATGTTCAATCATTGAAATTGGGTAAAAATAGAGTATTAAAGTATTATTAACTAATAGTCAGAAAGCATATGTGCTATGCACATTGCCAGTGATGATTTTGTTCTTTTAATCATATATAAAATGAAAAGTATATATGATTTCAAATAGCAGGCTAATTAAAAATTCTAGGAAATATTGTCTGAGATATATTTTTATCCTGCTACTGTCTATATCATCAGCTGGATAAAGCCTTGCCGGATAAACTTATCTATCTCCAGTCATTACGTCACATGATGACGTCACATCTTTAGCAGCAAAACAAAACTACATATAGATGTTATTTTATCGGGGAAAAGTAAGAATGAAACCATTTAATTATTCTAAAAAGGTAATAAAAAGCAGGATACATCAAATACATGATTGATATCGGGATAGAGAAGGTTTATCCGGTTGGCTGCGAATGTGAATCTTGGCTCGCTAAAGCTCGCCAAGATACACTTTCTCGCTCACCGGATAAACCTTCTCCAACCCGACATTAACAATATACTATAAATTTACATAGCTCCTTGACAAACTGTAGTTTAATATATTTCATCTTTGAAATCTTATTGGAACAGTCCCAGTTTATCCTTTCATCGTTGTTGTCGAACCGATTTCTTTTAGGCAACCATTCTTCATATTGCTTTAAATTACTTTTTCGAAAATAACAAATATCTAAAATAAGTTTATTGATCTCTGTCATACGATCACATCTACCAGTATTTCAAACACTTGAAATAAATTTTTTCATATAAAATAAAATAGATACAAATAACCCATAATAAAAGTTTTCCTTCATTCTTGTGCTTATTTTTTATGCTACATGAATTGTTGATTTTGATTTAATTTCCTTGTTAACTAATCTTTTTTTTTAAATTCTATTATACATAGCTTAATATTTAATTCCTTATAATTTCTAACTGTGATTTTCCTGCATAAAGCGGTAGTTTGTATTCTAACTTGTGATTATTCGACATGTTTTTTGTATGTTTCCTGCTCTGAGGAGATCTAACCAATGCTGATGAGAAATTTGATTTTTTAAAAGGTAAATAAAGTCACCACTTAATTTTGGATAGTCAAGCAATTTATCAAGTATTTTACATATGCCATTTTAACTTAATTTAACATCAGTTAAAAGTTAATATTACTTTAAAAAGATATGTAATATGAAATTCATTTATACTGTGCCATCCATAAATATCTTTAAACCTTTTATAAACTGCTTACTGGATGATTTACAATGATTTTATACATTTCTGAGATAAATTTTTACATTTTACATCAGTTGCGTGTGATTACCTGTTAACTTTATAAAGCATTATCATTAAGGTTAATAAAAAATAACAGGTTATTTATAAACATTTTCACATATAAGCGGAAATCGAAAATATTAAAAAAGGTACCCCGGCATTTTAGTATAATTGTTAGCACCTTTAGCACGAATAAAATATTAGCATGTTCTAAATAAGGAATTGACAAAATAAGAAATTAATATTTTTGCAAGATCATGGTTATTTGTCTCAAGATCTTGCCGGTTACCACGGTAACGATGCTCATGCTGTGGTTAAAGTCTTACGAATGAAGTCAGAGTGATTTTATTTATCCAGTGACACAGTGCACTATTATTCAGATGCTATTACGTGTTGGTCTGGTCCAACACATGCGTTTAAGCTGAAAATGTCAATGCAATCCATGCCAGACAGTCTTCCAGATACTTTCTGCAGTACACTTGTTGCCCTGTACAACACTACATCAACCCATCATAAAAAAACAATCATTGAACTTGACTAAGGGAACTTGACTGTTTCTACTACATAGTCTGAAAAAGTCTCAATGCGACCTTCTACAACTTTAACTTGACAATCATGTTAGAATCATTAAACTTGGTTTTGTTGACAACAGTAATGATGTTACACAGTATCACATGACTCATATTATAGCGAAGTGTAAGGAATGGCATGTAGTTTAATTCTGATGTCAAATTCAGTAGCCAGACTTCAACCTCCGCAAAATCGTTGGGCATGCAAATAATTTCAAGTTGTAAAACATAATTTCTAGCGGACCTCAATGTCTTATAATTGACATTTTAGATTTTTGAAATAAACATTAGCGTTGCAAAAAGTCAGGACAAAACATGAACAAGCAAATGAAAATACAATATGTTTAATATTAGTTTTAAGCCTTTCTGAGTGCATCATCTTTTGATGTTTTTTTTATAAATATCTGTTTTTATTAGAATAACAATCATTTACACTAAACCGATACCAAAAAGATGTCTGAAATGGATGAATACTTTTTAAATTTTAAAAATGTATTTTTCAGGGGTGTAAAGGTATTTATGGATGGCACTTTATATTCATTTTAGTTCGAAGATGTAGTCTAACACAGTTGGAACATTTTCTATATACAAAAAGAAGGCCGGAAGCGTGCGTTATTCTACAACAATGCACTCACCGTTTTTATTTCCTCCCTCTGTATTGACGGCGCCATTTTGTTTAAAAAAAAAACTTATAAAAAAAAAATTTTTGTTGAATTTTGTCCTGAAAACTGTATATAATGATAGAAAATGGTCTAAGAAAATAAATCCGCACACCAATATCTTTAATTCAGTCATTAACGCTGTACAGACGTTTACAGTGTTATTTCCATGCTGTCACTATGTAGCGGCAAACATCGTGAGCAAAATCATTTTAAACAAGAACGCTATCTTAATATCGCAAACCATATAAATCACATTAATTTCACTATAAATAGTGTAAATCAACGTTTTCAAAATTCATTATTCTCGAACAGAAGACTTAACTACATTTTTACAACCGACTGCAACAGCCTTTAAAGAACGTTTCTATTAGAAACGTTTGGGCGAAAACAAACTTAACAATAAACATAAAGTCTAACTACATATTTATTTTTTTTGACACGTAAGAAAGAAGATAGAAATAAGTTCTTTGTGCATTACAGTATAATGATGCACGGCTTTTCGTTCAAATATTATTCACACAGGTATATAGGCACTACGAATTTGAACTTACACCGTGCATTATTTTGCAACAATGCACTCAGAATTGATATCTATTTCCTTAGTAAAACATTCACCTCCGTCAAGATTCTGTATTTACTAAGTGTGATAAATCAGTTTAATTCTTTTCACTCACCAATTCCTGTAACAAAATACATCCTAAAATGCTAGAAACTAATGCCACTGTGAGCAATTTGCAACTAAAAATAAATCTATATTTCATTGTTTACGAAGTTATTCCAATGACTTTCTGTGGATAACAAATGGTTTGCTTGCGAAGCAATGTTAGATCTTATTTAATAATAAGCCAAGTAAATCTAAATAGTTTTATGGAAAAAACGCTGATACACAAAGTATTAGAATATTTGTTTCATTCCTTTGTTTTGTGATGCTTTGGTTTTTGCTCGTCTGTTTTGTCCTTGTTGTCATCGTACAAACACTTTATTTAAAGCTAGTTATTTAAACAGGGTATAATTTATAAATAAAACAACTTGCCATACTTGTTCATCTTGACATGGTGTTGTTGTTACACAAGGGTCGTTATTCTAAACCTTTATGTTTTAAATTTATAACACTTTAAATAAGAACTTTTGTAACAGAGTTTAGTATTAAAACAACTTTATTACATATATTAATATTGAATGGTGTAGATTCAATATCAAATTTTGAATGACTTTAGATAATGTATATTCCTTATGGTGACATTTCCGTGGACAGTATTAGCATCAAGCTTAGAAATCCACTCAGATACCTTGTTGTAGGAATCGCGGCAGAACAAGACTGCCCACCTTAAACATTGGACAATTGCTTCTTTCCTTTTACCAATTACCTTCAGGACCAAATACCCTTTCTCTGCATCCTTCCCTACCTAAATGATTTGAGATACAGAATAGGCTTGGCAAATCTCAAATCCCTTATAAATCCACTTTTTTGTAATCACACCGGCTACTGGGTATGCTATTCCTCTTATAGCCACCCATGGTTTCTACACTACTGACTAATTCATGCGTTTAATGACATAGATAGGTAACCTTTTTACTATTTTAAAATGAGCAAGAAAAACCAATCGTTTAGAAAAAAACTTAAATCGAGGGTTATCTATCTAAAACAGACTAGCCTTTTTCACACAGAATGTCCGAACTCATATAATTTTTCGATTAATGCTTCATGACCTTTTTAGAGGGTTATCGTTTAGAGATTGTGAACGTAACCGACACATACCTAAGTACCAGGGTAAAGAGAGAACACCGTCAAAACAATGTGTGCATTTGTACTGTGTAAGGCTATCATGCTTTTTACTATCTCTTTTGACCACTACCTTGCGTTAATCTAATCCGGGTTCATTCTAGTTGGTTCCGTTGCATAGTCTCACGTACTCTTTATCAATGACACAAAAACATAAAACAAGTTCGTAAATATAGTTGCTTTCATTTTGTGTGGTAGACAAACAATTCACAACCTGTCATTTATGTATGCAACTACTAGGTCAGGTACGGATAGGCCGAGATCAGGTATTCCCCGAGTGACGTCATGTAGAGCGGACCCTTCGTTACGTTAACGCATCTACGTTATCGCTTAATCTCAGCAACAGTAAGGTTAGGGATCTCGGCTCAGGCAATAAGTAATCGTATCATAGGTATTGTAAGAAAGAACACCAATAAGTTCGCGTCGTTCTTATACAGGACAAAATCTATATGTGTCACAGAGCTGTTTTAGAGATTGGGCTTCCATTTTATTTTGTTCCGCCCATTGTTTTCTCGTTTAGGGCACAGGCATTTTTTTTACTTGGGGACCATATGCCGCTTTTCATGGAATGGCACTTACGTGTAACATTGAAGGTTCCATGATTACCCTCATATGAACACATCTGCAGATGTTTCAAAATTGTACCAATTCGTGTTAAATGTTGAATTCTGCTTAAGCCGGTGCTAGGGGGCGTGAACGTTAACTTGCACTTTCCAGTACCGTCCATGAACAGGCTCAATCAAACCGAGCCTGCAACATTTTCAATTTTGTCGTGTTGGGCTTTCTTAAAGGGATTCTGTTTTTCTCTATTTTTTGATGTCACATGCACTGGACACGAGTCCAATTGCAAAACGTGATTCATATGGACGTTACGAGATGTTTGCGTTCATTGAACGTCGCCTTTCCTTGTTGATCTTGTTTATCATATTTTGCCCAATGTTGCGTGCAAGGACGTATACGATCATTGTTCCAGGCAACTTTATAAAAGAAGGATATGTGAAAGTCATCCTAAAGCACATCATATGCTTTGAAATTCATGCAAAATCAGGGTCCAGGATTTTTTTAGTTTGATAAAATTTGGACATACGGAAGATAATGTAATATTTCCGAACAAATTGATTTACGGAATATAAGACAAGAACATTCTAGCTATAACTGGACGGAATACATTTCAGTTTAGAAAAAAAAAAAAAAATTGTATATATTTCTTTAAAGCTACTATCTCACAGATTGATGTCTCCACGTTTTTGAAATTGAATATCACCAACAGATAGAATTTCACGGCAGACTTGTCTATTGATACGGAACTAGATTAAACGCATATGACTTGTTCGACGAAAATAAATCTTGGGTTAGGCTTTCCATGCTGCAATTTTAAATCGATTATTTTTTTGAAATATTGAATTAAATTATAAAATGAAGAAAAACTGAATCCCTTAATAAATCCCAACATGACAAAACTGAAAATGTTCCGGGTTTGGTTGAATAAGTCTGCTCATGGACGGTAATGGTAATTGCAAGTTATTGTTCACGCATCCTAGCACCGGCTAGGTAGAATTCATAATTTATCATGAACTGGTAGATTTTAGAATTTTGAAACACCCGCATATATGTTCATACCGCGGTTATCACCGTAAACGAATGTTTGCATGTAAAAAGATACGTTGGTTGAGGTTGTGTGTTCTTAAATTCCGTAATTGAGCGTTGTACTATATATCATTAATATATGTCTGTAAAAAAGACAACAAATAAACCCAAACATTTTCGGTAATCCTGTTAAAAACTGAATTTTATATAGTAAGTTCTACTTACATCAAGCTGTCCTGCTCGCTACATGTAAACGGGTGTGATCAGAAGGGTTGTTAATATATGTGTCAAGTGAAACCTAACAACCTTTACATGGAATCGACAAATATTATATCTATCCATGACTAATATGTTGAAGTTTTAGCCCCGTTTTTTGTTGGTGAGTAACTTCAACATAGGTATATTAAGTAATTCGAAATATAACAGTTTTTGACAAACTGACTGACTAAATATCGATAAATATTGGCCATCTGCTAAATTTTTATCTGACTGATTTTCATATTATGATAGATTTAGATTTTCATTATTTCAAATTTAATGTATGACTCACTGATTTCTGTACACTCAATGTTTGTTGAAACAAGATTGTTTGTTTAATTGGATTTGACATCACACCGACACATTATAGGTCATATGGCGACGTTCCAGCTTTACTGGTGGAGAAGACCTCAGGTGCCCTTCCGTACATTATTTCAGGCACGAACGGGAACCTGAGTAGAACCATCGACGTTCCGTAAGCTTGCAGGATAGCTTCCTTACATGAAAGAATCCAAAGTCCCTGTCTTGAAACTAGATTAAATATGCTATATAAATGTGTTTTTTGTTCATGTTTTCTACATTAACATTGTTTTGCCTGTTGTCATTTGTTTTCTATTTGTCAAATAAATAGAAATAGAGAAAAACAGAATCACTAAAGAAAGCTCAACACGGCAAAATTGTAAAATGTTGCAGGCTCGGTTTGATTGAGCCTGTTCATGGACGGTACTGGAAAGTGCAAGTTACCGTCCACGCCCCTAGCACCGGCTTAAGCAGAATTCAACATTTAGACACAAAAAGGGAGAAATTTTGAATTTTGAAACATCCACAGATCTGGTCATACGGCGGTTATCATGGAACCTTCAATGTGACACAGTAGTGACATTTCATAAAAAGCGGCACATTTCTATGAGCCAAGACGTCTTTAAAGTGTGCTATTTGTCTTAAACATTAATATTGTAGTGCCATTACACTAAACAATAGATAAATAAAGAATCCCTAAAGAAAGCCCAACACGGCAAAATTGAAAATGTTGCAGGCTCGGTTTGATTGAGCCTGTTCATGGACGGTACTGGAAAGTGCAAGTTACCGTCCACGCCCCCTAGCACCGGCTTAAGCAGAATTCAACATTTAAACGTGAAATAGAAAAATTTTTGAATTTAGAAACATCCGCAGATGTGTTCATACGGCGGTTATCATGGAACCTTCAATGTGACACTTCCGTGCCATTCCATGAAAAGCGGCGTGTGGTCCCCAAGTAATAAAAAGCGTGTGCCCTAAACGACAAAACAATGGGCGGAACTAAATAAAATGGAATTTTGAAAGGGGATCAGAGGTTATGAAGCCTGCGTATCACAGATAAGACGTCAAAAGACAAATTTAAAAAGCAGGCAACATATCCTAAGGGTGATTCAACATTATTCAAGTAGGAATATTGGAACCACCCAAATAGAAAATGCCGAAAATTTGAAACTAAAAATACCACAAGCACAACAATAATGTCGTGCTGAACTTGATTTTCATTAATTATTTTCTGACATGACTTTTTGTTTGTTTCTTTTTTTTGCGCAACGTACTTTTTGTCTTCATAGTTCTTGGTTTTTTTTATATCAATACAACATTTATGTTGCATAATCTAATGTTAATGTCTGTTTAGGAAGTTCAATATTCAGTCAGGTCTAATAGGGTGGTTCTGTATTTTTTGTATTTTTTCATCTTTTTTTTTTGTATGTTTAATCCATTAATCTATTTTTTTTCCAGTTTATGGTTTATTCATATTTATTATGAGTTTACTTCTTCTTCTCACTATTTTTCACTTTTAATTTCATTAGAAATATTTTATCTTTTTCATATATTTTTTTCCTTACCAATTTTAGCTTCACTTATTTCTTTTTAAAATAAATTCTCAAATTACTTCGGTTCCTACTGCGAATTTTGATGAAAATAATGGCAAATTCCATATAAATTTGTTTAAAGTTTTGTTTATCTATGTGAATGACTAGTGTAATTATTCAAATATCTTTTATAAGTGATGCAGTGTCGTTTGTTTGTGCCACGCTATGACAAGTCTACTTTGGGTAGAAATTTGTACGTTTAGTTAGATGTACTTCAGTTAGGTAAGGGAACAATGGATGACAAACAACTCGCCTTAAAACTGAATTAGTGTGTCACGAGTACATATGTCAGATATTTAAATTTACCTAATAGTAAAACATGGTATGAAGAGTAAATTTATGCAACACTGATGATTTACCTATATTTAAATCTAGAACCTATCTATTAGTTTAATTCAAAATCTGAGACGATTATTTGCATTATGACGATTTAATGTTTGTTTGAAAATGTAAAAGTAGATCATAGAATACTTGAATATGACCATAGAATATACCCTATAAATATCGTGTTTTTTATGGAGATATGATCTACAAAGTTCTTTTAATCTTTGATCATTTTATTGTTTTCTGCCGTCATTTCTTAAATTAACACACGTTTCGGCCATTTCTGTGCGTTTCTTATTTTACATGCTGCAACCATTACATTTGTTAGTATTTCTCTTTCTGGGGATTTATTTTATGACGTGTGTGAAATTTGAACCAAAACATGAATACAAGTGAATGTTTATGAGAGGACACATATTATGCTATGATAAATGTCAACGTATTGTTTATTGTGGGCGATATACAATTTTTGTGTACATACGCATTTTGAATATTTCCCTTGTTGCAACCCTTTTACGAAATATTTTTTTGGCTTGTCATAGTATTGACAATCCATAAACAGACTGGTTGACGAATTGATAGGCATTAATTACATCAAAGATAAACACTTCCTGTTTAAAAGAATTAGAAATAGAATTTTAATTTTGTAAACTACATCTAATTTATTGATAAACATTCCTAAAATGATATGAGTATCGAATGATTGTTTGGGAATTGTAATGCTTTAATAACTCTAGTAAAGACATACCATGCATATATATAAAGCTTTTCCGAGTGAAACATTCTTTAAGGTAAGATGTTTGCATTGAATAACTTACAATCAGTTGCTTAATAAACTATAAATGTATTGAATATAATTAGTGCGTTGATTCCATTTTGATATTGGGACGTACATTATGCATGCTTCTATACATCGAATACAATCGTGCATTATAATGACTGAATGCACTATCATGTAATTGCAATTCATGCGTTCTTTTCTGAGCCATCAAACGCACATGTTTGAATAAATATTATGTTTAATCGCATCTTTTTTAAGGCCAGCGTATTATGCTAGGTTTTTATGATAACATTCTTTGCTTGTTTTTGATATAACTAGATGTAAAATGGTAAGCCCCTGTAAGAACCTTTTATTTGCTATCAATAAGCCACTTACATTGTCGACACTATTTCACAACAAATAATTGTTTTTTATCAATACTTGACGAATTTGACGTGTCTTACCATTCATATGCTTCAATATATTAACTGATTACAAATATAATGCAATACTTGATCACTGCACATCGACAACGAAGATGACAACGATAGCGATATTATAGTCGCATGTTACAGTAGCACTAAGCTTAATGCGAGTTGTAATATTTTGTATTCTTATTATGACGGCAGGTGTCGCTTTGTCGGTACATTCCGTTATTTTCCGGATGGTCCCGTTATTTTTCACATGGAGTAAACACGGTTTCGTCCCCTTTATATAGAGGCGTATACAGAACAGTGTTAGTTGGGGGTTGACAAGTCAGTGAAAGATTTTGAGAAAAACAATAGTAAACTATGCGACAGGCAAAAATGCTTGTTTTTGAAGATTCGACATGTAAAGCTTGTCTCTTATAACTCATCCTACAAATGGCAAATCACCTCTTAGACATTGTTTATACAACTTTCTGAGCGTGTGCATTGAATTTAAAGATATATTATGCTCAAACTTGATATTTGAAAATATTGATTGTAATAAATTGTAATAGAACATAAATATAATTTGGCTTCACACAAATATTTTGATTTTAAAACAATACACTAACAGTGGGCACAATGAAAATGAAGTGTTATTAAAAGAATATTGCAGTTTTCTAAGAGAAGGCACAGTTATTCTTGACCCGTAATAACGAATGCAGATTCCCATACATTGTGTTTATGTGTTTTTATTTAAATTAGACATATTTAGTAAGAGTTTTGTTATATTTCCATAAATTTCTATAATGAAAATATATTACTGATATATGCACATATCACACAGGTATATGAATGTGGTGGTGTGTAAGGGGTGTCTGTGACACAGTAAATTGGTGACTTTTAGGCCCATTTAGCCGTGTACTATAATCATACACATATAATTATGCTCATTATTTGTAATTGGCTATGAACATGTCACAATAATAAACAACTTCCTTCTATCCTTATTATATTGTACTGCGTAACACACCTATTTGCCACTATAAGTGAATCTGAGACATTTGAAAAGATAACAGGCCAATAAAATTTACCTTTTTAACGTTCAAGTCACAAGATAAAGACCTTTTCAGCACCTAGTCAGGTGCTTAACAACTGAATGAGAGCATTATATGTTTTGATAAGGGAGTACACTATGACCAATACTACATGAAATTGATACGTATAAATTCCATACCAGCTCATAAACGTATCTTGGCCCTAGCTGGGGACTGAGTGCAGCCTGAATCCGCCAGTGTATAACTGCCCGATTAAATAACTGTTCACGAAATATTTTTCTATTAGACTGTATAAATATATAAAACTATATTGCATAATCTTTTTCTACTACTTATATTTATATTCTTTCCTGGGAAATTTATATATTTAGTGCTTTGTACGTATTAATATATACGCAAACAAATACCGTTGTTTGGTCACCGAAGTTTATGTACGGAAAATCCTGATAATAGGCGAAATATGGAAAAATTTTGTTAATCTCCATAAAAGAGTTTTCGCCCCTTAACAGCTCGCAAGACATTGTTAAAATTGTTTAAATATAATGTAAGTATATATAGTATAATGATTAAATTTTGAGCATGCACAGTCTATAAAAAAAGGTTTCAACAAAACACATGATTTGAAAAATGTCGATAACTTTTTTTTAAAGCTTATATCATAAATATTTAATTCGTCACTTTTATAATACTCTTTATACTTCTCTTTTTTCAGTTAGTAGCGATTTCTATAGGAGTAGCAGTGACGTGTTTAATGTGTAATATAGTCGATTATTCTTTTTTTATAACGTTACCGAGGAGAACAAAAGATAAATTTGCGAAAACTGATAAAATACCGGAAAAAGTATTTTCCGGTAGGAATAATAACTTTGAATTACAAAGTTCGTATTTAGTAAGCTTGAACAATCCCATATATGACACAAACCGTGATATACGTATTTTAAGAAAAGAAACACTGAAAAATATTGTCGTTGAACATGAGCAAGATTGTCCTGATAAACAGTTTCTGATTTATAAATGCAGTACACAACTTTGTGGGGGTTTAGGTGACAGAGAAAGGGGAATTGTGTCTTCATTTCTTTTAGCATTGCTGACAAATCGAACATTTGTTATTTACATGACGAAACCATGCGAGTTAGAAAATTTCATTGGGCCATTTTTCTATAATTGGACAATATGTAAAAAATATATAGAAACGGTACAACCTGAAAATATATCCGAACACTATCATATCTGTGGACAGCGGTTGGATTCATTTTACACAAACATACCAAACATGAATTTTAAGGAAGTTTGGACTCATCAGATAGTAATTATGCACACGAATGTTTACAATCATCTGATGAATAATATAAAATTGCACAAAGATATTCAAAGACAAATGAATTGGATTATCAACATGACAAACCCTGAAATTGTCCACCTAGTACTCCACACATTATTTAAACCTAGGCAACGTCTTAACGAACAACTTTTTGAATTAGTAAAGAACAATTTGAATGGCAGGCATCTTGTGTGCAGTCATATAAGAATTGGTAAGAATCCATCAATTCCGGGTGATCTGAATCTTTCAGAAGGAAAACCAAAGACACAGACAATATATTCCTTCCTCAAACGATTCAAGAACCCCCAAAAATATGCTTTATATATTGCTTCTGACTCAAATGAAGTAAGGCACGATATCATGTCTAATTTTAAGAATGCTTTCAATGTCAATCGTACAATTGTTCATGTCGATAGATTAAAAAATGTGTACAAAACGACAAATGTATGTGAAGGACTTTTTACTGCTATACTAGAACAACAAATGCTGTCTTTGTGTGATACACTTTTGATTACGCGCAGTAATTTTGGAACAATTGCGGCATATATGCGAGGTTCATCGGAAAACTTGTTTTTGTATCAGACAGATATCGATCAGGTCTTTTCAACGAACCTTACAAATATTCAAATAATCTATAGATTCTTTTAATTTTTTTTTTCTCATTGTCAACTGTTTTGCAAAATTGAGAACTAAAATCAACAAAAGAGCAATATATAGTATAACCGTAAAGATATCAAATTTGCTGTGTGAGGCATCCAACAACCTTTGACATCATCTAGATGCATAAACATCATTTTTCCGATTTTCAAATTAGAATGGTGGATACATGTTATTTTATGTCATATCCGAAAACTCTAAGGCTTAGAATGCTTATTATCTAATAAACAAGCTTAGTTTTGCATTTCATAGCATACAGTATATAATGCAGTTGAAGAACAATACATAAATTACCACGTACAAAATGACATTTATTTTAAACTTTATTTTACATGTTTGTAACTTTGTTGTAAAACTAGTGGTTTATAACTAGTTTACGGTCTCGGGTTAGATGAAACGCAAAATAACATTTCAATAGTTTATGTTTTATTACAAAACGTAGAATATCAATAGATTAAACAGTTCTACAAAAGCACAGTTATTTTCATTAATATGCTGAAAACCATGAGGAAATGATTACCGTTCAATGTTTCAAATGCTATATTTTTAAAATATGACATTTTGCAAAATTCGCCAAGGACGCAAATGCCAAGAAGATCCCATAGAATTCCATAAAATTCTCCGTTATCATGATGTCCCGTTTAATATGTAAGTCTCGGAATTTATGGTCTATTTCAACTCACATCGAAAGGAAATAACAATCAAATATTACCTTTAGTATTTTATTGTACGAAATGAGCTGAACACGAGCTTAAAATGCAAGACATGATATGAGAAATATTAAAAACATCAACAAGGTAAAGGCGACGTTCAAAGACCGCTGTCACCGACAATATTTAGCCACAAAAGCAGGACATCCCGGAGTCACCGAACCAAAACCGGGAGAGGAAACAAGGTCGGCGAAAAAACCGTGCAGAAATGCATATTGATATTTATTTGCAAATTTGAAATTAGATTTTGATTAATTTTAAATCAAGGTCTTTAAAGTTGTATTGTTCCTACGCTCCCTTTGCAGCTTACTGTATAAGCTCCCGTTACTTTACGACCGCTGCTTTAACGATCGTAGATACTGACCTTTATATTCCACGATCCATTAACTCTTATATTTTCAATAATTCTTTACGCTTTAGGCTTTCTCCTATAAAACATACCCTTCTTAAGAAATATAATATTACACATACTAATTATCATTATAGAGCTAGAGTGTATCCTTCTATTAATAAGTGTAATTCTAAGACTTGCAGATGTTGTAACTTTTTATCGCACAGGATTACAATAACCTATCATGTAAATGGGAGAACTTTTAATATTATTTTAAATACAGATATTGCGAAAAGGCAACTCATTTTGTTTATGTTTTAATTTGAAACACCTCTGAACGTGGCATACAGTATGTTGGTCAGACAGGACGTTCTCTTAAAATTCGATTCCGTGAACATTTTTATAAAATGAGAAATCGCACAAAATTTACAATTTTCCTATATCAACACTTCGTAAAGATGGTCATTCATTTAAAAATGTTTCAATTCAACCAGTGGAACAAATAATTTATGATTCTGATGCTTCTGATAGTTTTAAAGTTAAGGTTAGACACTCAGCAGAATTAAAATGGATCAAGAACTTAAAAACGCCTTTCCCACTTGGCCTAAATGACAATATTTTTCAACAAGGTAACATCTCTAAAGATCCAAATATTGATATATTTTCTATTCTGAATATTCGTAAACGTAAATCCCGATCTCACGGAGTACGCAGAAATGGCGACATCAAACGTAAATATAAAATAACCCTGTCTGTCACCGACTTAAATATTATCTTAAACTAGAATTGTGTCATCATGCCACGGATGTCCCCGCATGCAGCCAAAATTTCAAATGTTATAATATTTAGTTCCAAATTCGTTTGCACAAATTACTTTTTTCATTCTATGTTCAAAGCCCTTAAAACTTTTCAATGTTAACACAAACCATTTTTATACAATGTTCAAGGCACTGAAATTATTCAGTCTTAACCTTTTGAAAATAGCATATTGCATATTTGTAGCCAAAATAATGGCTATATACATTTCCAAAAAAGTTTGAGTGCTGAAACTGAAAGTTCAAAATTTTTCCAACATTCAGGAAAGATAAGTTTGTCTTAAATCATTGAACAACGACCAAATTCGAACTTAAACTGCTTATTCCTAAGATGTATCTATATTATTATCAAAGTGAAAGGGACATAACTCTGCCAAACAATCAACGAACCATGACCAAATTCCAACTTGACCTGCGCATTCCTTTGACATACCCATATATCAATTTTGAGTTGAATATGTCACACTGTTGGGTTGATAATGAACAGAAACTGTAAATTTCATATCATTTTCAAAGTGAAAGGGACATTACTCGTCCAAAAATCATTGAACCATGGCCAAATTCGAACTTGGCCTGCGCATTCCTTTGACATATCCATATGTCAAATTTGAGTTGAATGTGTAATACTGTTGGGGAGATTATAAACCGAAACTGAAAATTTCATATTATTTTCAAAGTAAAAGGGGCATAACTCTGCCAAAATCATCAAACCATGACCAAATTCGACCTTGACCTGTATTTTCTCATGACATATCCATATGTCAAGTTTGAGTTGAATGTGTTGTACCATTGGGGAGATAATGAACGGAAACTGAAAATTTCATATTATTTTCAAAGTGAAAGGGGCATAACTCTGCCAAAAATCATCAAACCATGACCAAATTTGAACTTGACCTGCGCATTCCTTTGACGTATCCATATGTCAAGTTTGAGTTGAATGTGTTGTACCATTGGGGAGTTAATGAACGAAACTGAAAATTTCATATTATTTTCAAAGTAAAAGGGGCATAACTCTGCCAAAAATCATTAAACCATGACCAAATTTGAACTTGACCTGTATTTTCTCATGACATATCTATATGTCAAGTTTGAGTTGAATGTGTTGTATCGTTGGGGAGATAATGAACGGAAACTGAAAATTTCATATTATTTTTAGAGTAAAAGGGGCATAACTTTGCCAAAAATCATCGAACCATGACCAATTTCGAACTTGCGCTGTATTTTCTCATGACATATCTATATGTCAAATTTGAGTTCAATATGTGCAACGGTTATTAAGATAATGAACGGAAACTGATGATGACGGAAGGACGGAATGACGGACTTACGGAATGACGGAATGACGGAACAGGGTTACACTATATGCCCTTGCCATTATATTGCGGGGGCAAAAAAACTCTGGTAAACATGCAATGTTATCACGTCTTACTTCCCTTTCATTATCATCTCTGAAAATCTTAGACGCGGAGGCGGATGATATAGTTATTCAAACAGATCCTTTATATACAGCAGCTTATCTTATTCAAAGTTATACTCAGCACGTCTTAAGACCTCATATCGACAACACTTCTGACCACAACAGGCATTTCCTAAAAGTAACCTTTCTTAATAAAGGTATCGATTTCATCGATTTACCAAGTATTTTTCGAGATAAACGTGTCACTAATTCAGTCCCTTTATACTTCAAAAACTCCGAGATACCAATTATTTGCTATAAATATAAAAAAAACCCTGTTAGAAATATCATATTTGATTACAACAAAGTGGTTTCTGACTCCAACAACTTGAGACTGCAATACTTCTTAATTCTGTAACTCAGATTTTGGCCATAAAAGCACTGGTAATTTTGATATAATTGCAGACAAAAGAATTCGTAACTTATTCTTGAAAGGACCTAAATACAGAAATCCTTCTGAGATTGATTTTAATGCTTGTCGTGGTCAGATTGCTGAATCTATAGAGTATTTTTCGGTCAAATGGTGTCGCCGTGAAAATGCGGATAGTAATGCTCTAGTTACTTGGAAACGTAACATCTTTAAAATTATTGATTCGCGTATTAATTTTTATCATGGAAATAAACATCTTTTGCCACCTAAACCAAGACTTACTTAAAGACATCTGAAAAAAGATATTCTAGCTTTTCATTCAAAATTTGTTTTGGTGCCAGCGGACAAGGTGGCTAATAATATTATAATTGTATGACGAATCCATTACATTAACGTTTTGCATAAGGAACTAAATAGTACTAATGCGTATTCTAAAACCTCTGCCTCCGAAAGAGACATTGTAAACAATCATATTACTAATATTTCCAATCTTAAAGTCCAAAGTAATGAAAAAGAACTCAAACTTCCTATTATGTATTGGATTCCTAAATTACATAAAAAAACTTACAAAGCCAGATTCATTGCTAATTCTACATCTTGCACTACAAGCACTGCGGATGATCACGTGATTCAAATCGTACAATGGGCTAATTAAATGGCGGTCTGACCGCTCGCTTAATACAGTAAAATTGAGGTAAGCATACAGTTAACGTTAAATTTATATGTAAAACTAAGGCGCACGGAACGTCTGTATAAAAACCACGTATTGTTCTGTTATTGGTTACTTTGTAGCTCTCTCTGTTAAGGCCTGAAACTCGAAAAAGTTGTTTTGAGTGTTGAGTACAATGGACGAACAGGCACTAACATGCGCTGTTTTCAGTACATGAAACACACTTTGGGGAAAATTGGCACTGACATCTGGTACAGAAGTTTGATTTTGTCTTTCATGAACAATTTCCAACCTTTGTAAAGTTGCATAAGGAAGTTGTACGTTTTTTACAAAACGAGTACAATGGCCGAACCAAATTTAATGAGTACAATGGCCGAACGATTTTATTGCCCACTCAATCTCGTCAAAATTTTCATTTATTTCTTCATGTTTTTCAGTCTCCGCCCTTGATTTCATACAAATGTAATAATTTGACATAAAAGTAAGAAAAATTGTTAAATCGTATGGATATTGATACTTAACTTGTAACATTAATCTTTACTTTTTTAAGCTAGCATGATTCTTTAAGAAATGGTTTTATACTCCACATCCGGAAAAATAATTTTTATACTTTAATAGCTCTACTTCAAACTCATACTCAACAAGTGCATGCATGTGTATATCTGTATCAAGTATGTAACACTGTTTGAGTAGTCTGGGCTTACCTATATTTACATGTATATGAATGACATCACTACAGATGAGAGGATTTCAATTTGGCATCGAATTTTTTTGTAACAAAATATGAATGCATTTAAAACCATGAAATTAAAAAGAATCTACATTAAATAAAATGTCTTTTTCCTGAAATTGAGAAAGGAAAAAATAATGTCAATACTTCCTATAAAAGAAAATTACTGAAAAATGTTGGCCTTAAAAGATGTCGCTATCCGGCTAGCTTACTGCAGGTCGGTTGTTCCCCTCGGGGTGACTGCATATGTTTGGAATAATGCAAGTAGAGGCGCCTGATGTTTTCTACGCCAGCTATGGTTTGATTTCATTACCCAGTCAATTACATTCTGATTATACGCCAGCACGCAATAAAGAATTTAAGTGACATGTTCTCAGTAAGATATGATTTAATTTATGTATATGAAGAAATACACTGATCGTTGTAGTGCAATAGAGTATTAACTACGGGATTATAATTTCCAAATGTCTTATTTAATGTCACAGGCGTTCGGCACATTTGTCATACCAATAATGGTGTTATTATCATAAAATAATCACCCCAAGACCATCAAGATCCTGTCACTGTTTACTATATAAAATAAATAATTACAACATATATAACTCACCGTAGCGTATTCCCTCGGCCCGGTCAACATTTTGCATGTTTACTCGTGGTGGATTTGGGGAATTTCGTTGGCACAAAAATGTCAACCTGGTAATTTTAAGGTGTTTTCCAAATTTGATATTTCATTAATCGTAAATGAGGATAAATGTCTAAAACATTTAACGGTTACTGAAAGATATATCTATTGTGCTATGTTGACACGTTTAAATATGAAAATATGTCTTATTTAAAA